AGAATTAAAAGTACCACTTTTGTAGGTGAAGTGAATTCAGTAGTAAAGTGATCCACTTTATTCATTGTAAGAATCATGTAGGCACAATGCTCTTAACATAAAATAATGCAATTTAATATTGTGAGAGGCAAAGGTACTATCAGACATTGGATGCTTTTATTACTTTGCTGGATTAATTTTAAAAAGAGTATTTTTAAAAAACAATAACAGTAGTAAGAGCGCTTTCAGTGAGCTGAGCATGTATATCATATAATCCAGTTAAAGTCTTATGCAATCAGTGATGACTAAACATACAGAAAATTAATGTCATTTTGAATAACTGTTGTGTATTCTAAGTAGTAATAAAATATGAATTAGATTAGTGAAGGAGGCATCGTGCTAATATGTTGTTTCCGGCAGATCTTGTTAGAGAGTGCTTTGGGGATACTTTGATTTTGCTGTTGTCAGGACTGATATTCTATTGAAAGCTTTTTACAAGGAACAGGTCTAGGATTCAATGCAAGCAAACCAGCTTTCAGCTATCATCTGTAGCTTCCCTATTTTAAGTTGTCTGCTGTTCCTTTCTTACATCATCGTTTGCACGTCTCTGTTAGTAGATGCTTTTCAAAGCAGCAGTACGGTTCCTCATGCTGTACATTTCTCCAGCACTTTAGCTTTATATTAGATTCTTCTTCCTTGAAGCATACTTCTCAGGTATACGCTAGAGCTGAAGACAAGGCTCTATTTGATAATGACATTTAAGTGTAAACTGTAATGTCTAATATTTTATCCAGTGCTGATATCCACAATTCAGAAAGATTTATCACAGATTTTTTATGATGAAAGATGATAAAAGATTTTGTAACATACCCAGTAGTTAAAAACTCTCTAATTCAGGAAATCTTATCATATTATGATGCTTATTTGGCATAGTGCCCTATGATGAACGGCAGGTCACACTGAACAATTGTATTGGACTTTCCTGGCTTTACAATATGTGATCCTAAATAGAGTGTATTGCTCAGATAATTTAGTTTACCAAACTTCATCCTCTGTAACATCATGAGAAGGCCAATAAAACATAAATGATGATCATCTGGATACAATTACTGGTTGAATCCTGATTGTCAGTTCACACCATGATCCATTGTGTAGCAAAACCAGCTTTTTTTGGTAGTATTTTTAATGTGTGTGTAAACTTTGAACTTCCTTTTGACTGAACCTCTTCTTAGAACAGATACTACACTATGTATAGCAGCAAAAACATGCTTCCCTCTACTTTTTATTATAAGTGGCTAGTTTGTGTATGCAAATAAGGATCCAGCAGGCAAATAAACACTTGTTCTCAGTTTCCTGAAGTAATTGCTTTAGGAAGTTTCTCTTTTCTCCCAAGTTCCTCTTTGCCCCTCTTTCTGCTCACATGTAGTAGCTTCCTGATGCACCTGTAAGACAGTATGAGCATATCAACAGCTACTATGTCTTGGTATGTGCTGATACCCCAAATCTCAGGACCACTTCTGCATGGCTCCCCATGTGACTCTAGCTTTTATAATCATGCATACCTGAGACTTTCGAAAATCTGTACTTCTTAACTTGGAAAATAATAGTGTCATTTGTTGAATGGTAATTCAGTAATCACAGCCTTGTGTAGTAATTGTTGGATAATAGTAGTATATTACTGGGAAAGGTTCAGTCAAATGTTGGTTATGTGGTAGTGAGTTTTTATTGTATTATATAGATAGTTACTTTTATTCCATTTTTTTCCTCCCAGTGCAATCGTAACTGGCATACAACAAAGCTGGAACGTGTCATTAGATGTAGGAGGGTAATGCCATAATTGTTTCAGGGGACACAGAAGTGCAATTGTAGCTATGTAATGCTTAACCAACACTAGCAATTTTAAGAATATCATCTCAGTGGTTAAAATGGTAATTAATAAATGCATGTTTTTAACCAGCCTGTGTGATATATTTTTGTTGTTTGATTTCCAAAGGACCTGGGAATAGTAAGTCAGCAAAATCTACAGCGATGCCTCCAGGACCTCCAGTGTATTTGGATCTGGTGTACATTCCCAACCACAGCAATAGCAAGAATGTCGATGTTGAGTTTTTCAAGAGGGTGCGGTCATCCTACTACGTGGTGAGCGGGAACAATTCTGCAGCTGAGGAGCCAAGCAGGGCTGTTCTGGACTCCCTGCTGGAGGGCAAGGCCCAGTGGGAGAGTAACATGCAGGTAGGCTCTTCACTAGTATTTCTACCTGGAAATTTAATCTTCTCTGGGAAGCAACTACAGGAAGCCAGAGTGCCTCTGGAGTGGGCGGTGGCTGCTGGGGACAGGAGTTCCCGGCCTGGGCACCTTGTTTCAAGAGTGATGTGAGAGGACACCCAAGTGAAGCACAGAGCTGCACCATACTCAGTTGCTCCCCCATTTCTGGCCCTTCTGACCTGTCTCTGGAGAATAAAACATTTGGGAACTGGTTTACAGGGCCGTTTGGCTATTTCATCTTGTTGCTATACCATATATGATCCAAGTTTGGAAACCTTGCAGTTTGTAAGTAGGAAAGAAAAGTGAATGCTTCATGGTTTATATGGTAATCACATACACTTGGAAACTTCATGTGCCTTTCCAACATGATAAATAAGTAAACAAAATATTTGGCCATAAACTGAAAAGCTATCGGTGCAGACTGCAGACTGCTACTTCTCTGGAAAGTTGCATCTCAGCACCTTAGAGAACCAAGGTTTTATTTTGATAAACTGCTTCTTTACAGTCATTTTATCTTATCTACATGTTTGTTTATTTCCTTTTATCCATCCATTTATTTAAGTATTTATTGCATAAAGATCCACTCTATCCAAAAGGGAATCATATTTGTTGGCCAGGACTTCTTACAAAGACATTTTTCTTATCAGTTGTTTCTGTTGTCCATTCCTCAGGAGTTCTCCTGTTTTGTGTTGTAGGTGACCTTAATCCCAACCCATGACTCAGAAGTGATGAGGGAATGGTACCAAGAGACCCATGAGAAACAGCAGGACCTCAACATAATGGTTTTGGCAAGCAGCAGCACTGTTGTTATGCAAGATGAATCTTTTCCCGCATGCAAGATTGAACTGTAAGAACAAGACCATGCACCACAAGATTTAACTTTGTTTTCAGAAATTCTTCAGTTTGAAAACGCCTTTTCTAAAAATTCAACCCATATATTTCAACTGCTGAACTGTATACCTGCAAAATGCTATACTGTAACGTGGCGATTCAATATTATAATATTTTTCTGTCTGTTCTGTTTGCTAAGGAAAATAACAGTATT